AAACTGGAGGAGAGCACAGGGGCTGGAAGGGATGAGCCCGGAGCCGGAGAACAAATCCCTGCAGGTGAGAGCGAGGAGCTGGGCAACGGAGCCTGCAGCGCCCTGGACGTGCCGTTGAGGGGGGGCTCGGGTGCTCTCTTCCCCCCCCTCTTTGCCTGGAGGCTTTGGGTGGTTTGTTTAGACGCTCGTTTCATGAAGAAGCCGTCTCGTCCGCTGCGGGTCAATGAGCTACGCGGTGTCGCATCCAGCCCGTGAAGGGGAACACCCCAGGATTTGTGTTTCAGCATCTTGGAAGCGTCCACCAGCCCAGGCAAAGCGAGGGCAGACCGATCCACGCCTTGCACGACTGCGGCAAGAGCTGATAAATTAGTCCTGGCTTAAGTCCTCCTCGGAGGTTGGGAAGGAGAAAACCGCAGCCGTCAGGAAGGCCACGGAGAAATCCCGAGGTACGGCGCGTGCGCGGGTCCAGGCAGGAAAATGCCATCGTTCTCCTCGGCGTGGAGTGGAGCCACGCCAAAGAAATACATCCTGGTTGCTGAAGGAGGGATGTGGGTTTTTCCTTCGAAAGCCTCAAATTTTTTTCAAAAATCTCAGGCAACGAGCGGCGAGTGTCGGTCCGATGCTACGTGGCCGTCGCCGCCTGTTGCACCGAGTCCCACGTATTTCACGTTAGCCACGCGGAGACGGCCTCTCGCTCTGCCCCTTTTCTTCGCAGCAGCCCCCTCCTGTGCGCGGGTGAATTCCGTCCGTGCAGTCCCCGTTTCCTCCTCTCCCTCCTCAGGTTTCTCCGCGTTCCCCCAAGACTGTTCCCAGCTCCCTGGATTTCTGCAGAAAACCGGGATCACGCCGACGTCTCTTCCTGCCTCTCACGTGTTTCTCTTTCTTTTTCCCCTAGACACGCTGGAACCCGAAGTTTCTTTAACGAGGGAGCGAGCCGAACGCGCGCCCAGCCGCGCCGGGTTTGAGTGGCGAGGTTTTGGTACAGGGGTGCCTTCTGTCAGGAGGTGCCAGAAGCTTCCCCTGTGTCCAGCAGAGCCAGC